TTTCTATAAAATGGTATGGAATACACTTAATAAAGAACCACATGCATCATTGTACTTTATTGTAGAAATACTTTAACATAAAGTTCAAAATGTAGAAAAATAATAGGATGATTAAAAAAAAAAACTAAGCAGGTAATACTGTAGAAAAAAGTGTTAATTGTAAAATCAAGCTTGTTTATATATCATGCACAAATATCCTGTATTCATTTTCTTAAGTATGAGAGACATCAATTAAAATAAAGAAATGCAAAAATTGAATGGGGAACACTAATTTATAACCGAGGCATTTATTTTATACTTATTAAAATGCTTTTCTTTAAAAAGACAAAAAGAATGTTATTATACATGTATTGCTTTTGTAAAACCTTTCTCAGTTACCTGAAAAAGTATCCTCCTATAAGATAAACTAGTGACATGTAACAAGGCTTACAACCCTATATGCAGCTTTACCTCCCTCTGTTATAGCTGTATTTCTGGACATTTGGAGCTGAAGGAGTAACCCAGTTCAACCTACAAGTAGTCCTCATTCAGCAACTGCCTTGTACAGTGTCTTTCACAGTTATGACAATGCTGAAAAAGTAACTTTGCAACCAATCCTTGCATTTACGACCTTTGCAGGTCTACAAAGCAAAGAAAAGCTTAAGTAAGATAATAAGCACAATAGCAGTTTCACTTAATGATCACTTTGCTTGACAACCACATTGATGGTCCCAATTGTGGTCACTAAAAGAGGATTACCTGTATTCACCTATCTTTATATGTCTAAATATAAATACGAGCTGAATTGTTAGCTATTAGTAAAAGACATTCATTTATTTCCTTGCTTCAATTTGTACATCACTTCATTAAGATTTCAATTAAATGGCCTAAAAGGACTTTATTTCATAGTATACTTCCTTCTACAATAAAAAGAAAAAAGAAAAATCACTTAAAACATATGTTTGGGAAAGTTACATCAGGAAAAGAGTACATTTTGGAAAATTAAATTAAAAATAGTATATTGGGGGGTCCTTTAATTAAAAACAGGTATTAGGGGAAGTTGTGCTTTTCAAAGAGTAGCTTGGGGGTGGGCAGAATGTAGGCTTAAATTTAAAAAAAGTAATTTCTAATTTATATATATAAAATAGGGATCTAAATAAATGAGTATCGTGACCTTCTGCTATAATCTATGAAATTACATACCAATTTCATTTTTAATTATACTACAACATAAAATAATTATATTATGAATCCTGTGCAACGTGAATCCTGTGCAATCCTGTGTCATGAATAATATGGAGGAGGTTACCTGTCGTATAACCTCCTCCATATTATTCCAAATGATGAAGTATTTGATTGTAATAATCTGCACATTTATTCTTGTCTGATTTAGCATTAACTTTCCCCTTTTATGACATGGCTTCTTTGTTTCCTTAAAATTTGATGTTGCATAAGCAGAACAAAAAAAGGAGTAATGAGTTGTGTGTACCGTATGTCATTTTTCCTTCTTCTCTAAATAAATTGATACTAGCTTTACACAATGATTTGTGTTTTGTGAATAAAACCTTGAAGAGTAAATAAACTCAAACAACAATCAGAAAAACATGACAGCAGAATCAGTGATGCATTATGAATATAACCACCTAATTTGATTGCACAATACCAATATACAGGGCACAGGCTTACTCACATATACACAAAGAAAGTCTGACTACATAAAATAACTACTGCTTCACATAATACAGCCAATTACAGTCATAAATAAGAGTGGTATAAATTCCATTTAACACAGCTATAAATAAGGCTATTTTTTTCTGTTCTCCACAGTAAATGCATATATGTGTGTTGCAGTTATGTGTAACTGCACACACATGAATAGAAACAAGTCTCTCCACTGAGTTCCAAGCTTTCTTAGACATAATTATAGTCATCAATCATTCTCCCTAAAATATTTCCTCTTCCCTTAACTGTAGAGGCCACAATTTATACAGCAAACTGTTTTGTACTCAAAACAATAAAGTAAAATAAATAGGTTTCATTCCTTGGGTCTTAATAATGTTCTTTAAATAAAAATCTTGTTTTTAAACAAAGGTGCAAAACATATTTATAAATCAAATAAGCAAAAATGTTCATTTTTTTCCACAGACAAGTAGCTTTCTAATGAAATATTAGAAAATTGAGAAATATGAAATATAAGAACATTTTAATTTTTATGAACTCTGTTCTTGAAGGAAAAAAAAAGTTTTCATAGACAATGGACTGATAGAAAAATCCTCCATTTCATGTCACTCATAGATGGAAACATGAAGAATGTATATATATTCACAGTGGCACTATTGCTTGACTTTCCTATGGTCTACATTGGCACAGAGAAGAAAAAAGTTGTAGAGCTCAGATAAGCAATAGCAATGCTTCTAAGACTACCCTTTCTTGTCTGCATCTCTTGGAACATGTCATATGAAGTGGCTAACATCTTTTCTCTTACTCTGGCAGGATATGTCTATGGTTTTGCACTTAGTTTGAATCAAGAGAGTTCCCACTATTCTTCTCTGAAATGAAACTATATTACCTTACATCTCTTAAATGTATGGGTTTTTCCTCCTAAATACAAACATTAAATCAAGGAATCAAAATAAGTAAAGTAAAATACAACCCAAATTTCCCCCTTAACTCCCAGATTTCATAGGTGATAGAGGTATGTGTATAAGGCCTGACTCCCTCTGCTCTAACAAGCTGGCTTCATTTACAGGAAATCTATAAAGGAAAAGTTACCACCTGCAGTATAAGGTCCACAAAGTGCCCCATCAGTGTTTCAGCAACATCAGCTTGGAAAGTGTAGAGTGAAATCCCACTGCTTTCCAATAATAGAACAGCTTTACATAAGATAGTCAGTGTTTCCTACTTTACCATCACCTATTCAATTTGTCAGTGTTGTCTAACTGCAGAGAGAGGGAAGACTGTCTTCAGCCATCAAGCTAAGCATAACTTTCTGAGTGATTTATAACTCAGCTACCAAATCAGATAGTAAAAGCCATGATTTGCCTTAACTATACTTGAGTATTGTGGCTGAAATAAAAGACTATACTTGTGGCCAGTCCATTGCCTCTAAATGATTAGAAAGCTGAGCAGGTATGAAACAAATATAAACAAACAGCTATAAAGAATGGGTTGGATGCATAATGGAAAGCTTAGTGTTCTTAAGTGTGGTTAGTCCACCATGATGTCTAAATTGAGTTAGGGTTACATAGTAGTAATTAAAGATATTTTATTAAAATTATCAAGTACATGTAAAGACAAGACTCCCAAAGGAAGAATCAACGTGGCTTCTAAAACAGTATGCTCAGTTTCACTAAACTTTCAGAATATTTTAAGAATCTCAAGTCTCAAAATGAAGATTTGCGGACAGAGTGAATAGTTTATTTGGACTGACAGCTTTTGACACAGTTAGTTAAAGCCATCAGAGTCCTGAGCAAAGCCAAAAGTCACAAAATAAAAGAAGAGGTCCTCATGTGACTCAGTAACTGGTTAAAACAAAGAAAGCAGAGAGCAGAAGTAAATGGGAAAATTTGCCAATAGTGGATGTATATCGTGGGCATGCAAGGATCGAGTGCATTTAAATTTGTTCTTACATGATCCAGAATTAGGAATAAGCAGTAATACGATCATTTTGCTGATTATATTAAATTATTGAGGCTGGTCAAAACAATAAAATATAATAAAAGATGCAAAATAGATAGAAAAGGAGGAATTACCATAACACATGCAGTTCAGGGTAAGCATAATTAAACGGATATACATGGAAGTAAAAGTCTTATTCATTGATTGATTGATTCTAAGTAAGGATGTGCACAATGTTCCATGCATGAATTGTTCCATGCATAGAACAGAAAATGATCCATGTATAAAGTAGATTTTTTGTTTGTTTGTTTTTGTTTTGAACATACAATAGTGCACAGTGCTTACTGTATGCAAGCCCCTAGTTCCTGTTGATGTTGAGATTCAGGACGTTTATGTATTGAAAATCAACATCAACAGGCACTCTGAAAACTTGGCAATCAACAGGACAAAAGCATGTACAAATACATATGCACATTTAAATTCAGCAAGTCATCATCAGATAATATCTTTTTTCCCCAACGTGCTATGTTAATAGCTTCCTTTGATTTGATTGGCTGTTTTGTTGTTTTATCCTTCTGCACACTGTAATTCATTTTTCTTGTTCCTTTTCATAGCCAGCCAGGGAAAAAAAAATGGTAAATCCACAAATGAAGCTTTAAATACTGCAGTTGATACAGACAGCATGTTCCTGACTAAACAACATAATTAGACATGTTCCTGTCTAAACAACATAATTAATTTCAGTGAGTCCAGTCAAAGGTTGCTTTAAGAAATATTTTAAAATAAATCTCACCTTCTAAATCTAAGAGGAGATTTATTTTTACAAATTAAAGTAACTCCTTACTGGACTGATTGAATTTAATATTTGTTGTCAGGTTGTCTTCCTCTCGAGGAGCACATAAGTGACTGAAAGTGTTGAGTCTTGCATAACAGCTCAAAATCATAGGCTGAGCCTACCTCTCCTCATATTCCTTTCAATTAAAATACCTATACCCTCAGGACAAATGGGTTTTTCATTGTATAAAGTTATGCAAACACAAAGACCTATACAATTCTATGTTTGGGTGGAGCTGTATGAATACAGCGATTTAAACGCACTTTGATTTATTCTCTTGAATTTTCTACAGCTTCTATTATCAAATCAAATAAGTTATTACAGGCATACATCCAGAAAACAGCAAGATAAATCCTACAAAGGGAATGTGAATGTATCTGTCTATCCCTCTATATCTCAGTCTGCATGAAGTAAGTATATGTAGCAAAGAATAAAAAATATAAGAACACAAGACAAGGAGTACAATAATGGTGAAGTAGAATAATATACAATACAACTGAATAGATAAAAGTCAAAATCTTCAGCTACAAGCAGGGTGAAAAGAACAGAGGCGCAGAAGTGGGCAAGTGGGAGGATATACTTCAGTTCTTATCAGTCAGGAGGACCAACAAACAGAAGTTGTGCTCTCTGCTCAGAAATTGCTTCAAGATGGCGTAGCTGAAAGTTATCCAAGGGTCACTGTAAAGGGAACCACAAAGGAGCATATGTCTCAGAGACTTTACTGAGACATCCCCACATGGGCATAAGTAGTGGTACACAGGGGTATCCTTTTGGCATTCAAAGTGGACTGATGAGGGCAAGTTGCACAGGAGAGCAACCAAACTGATCAAGAGTCTAAAGCAGAGTTTCTCAAACTTGGCAACTTTAAGATGTGTGGACTTCAACTCCCAGAATTCCCCAGCCACTGGGAGTTGAAGTCCACACAACTTAAAGCAACTCTGCAATGAATAAATGACGTTTTGACTTAATACAAGAGGAGAAATGGAAAAAGTCTCTCTCTCTCTCTCTCTCTCTCTCTCCTCATAATCATATGATGGTAAGTTATATTATTTTGGCAATAAATAAATGCAATGAGTGAACAATACCTGATAACACTAAATGGTGAGAGATTCAGGGCAGACAGTTAATTCTTCACGAAGGACATAATTAAAGAGAAGTCATTACCACAACCAACAGATTATCACTAGGTTGCTTTAAAGAAGACTTAAACAAATGAATGGAAGATAAGACTACCAATAATTATTCTTTATCATAACTGTTACCACTTTCAGTGTCAGAGGCAGAACTGTATAGATTTCCCAACCAGTTCTTTGTTCTTTGAAATTCTTCCCTTTAATAGCTGGACTACCTTATTAAAGGATTAAATTCCATTACCAATTAATAAAACAAAGGCAAAACATTTTAGCACAGTCCATATGCTAAGTAGGCTCACTACAACTTGCTACATCTAACAATTATATTGTGAATAATTCTCATCTCTGATTCCACTTTTATTCCTCCATCTCAACAATGATCATCTATATCTATATCATCTATATCTATATCTATCTATCACTGATAGCTTAGCTGTAATAATATGTAAAGAAATACTGTATAGGACTAAAGACTATTCACAATTATAACTGTTAATGCAGCTGATTAACTGAACTCTAATCTAGAAGGCCATATACATTTATCCTTAACAAGCTATAATATTGTACAATGGTATTAAATAGGGCTGTTTAAAATATGTTCTTATTGAATTATTCCAAATCTGAAACAGCCTATTTCAAGCTTGAAACAGCTATTTCAGGATGAAATGGTCTGCTTCTTCCAATTCAAAATGGGCAAAATGGTGCATCATAGGGCAATAATTTTTGAACCAAAGTACCTCAAAGTACAGAATGTGTCCAAAATCTGGGACCCATTACTCCTGTGGGATTGAAATTTTGGAAATTTGTGGCTGCTGCAACACTGCTATGCTGCCACGCCCCTGCAGTCAGTCGTGATCGTCATGGGTCTATCCTTGACCTCTTTCCCTCCTACCTCTGTCTCCTGCATCCAGTCAGCTGGCAGTAAGGCCTGACAGGCAAGTGGTGATTGGCTACCTTGGAAACAGGCAAAAATTTTAAATCTCATAACAGTGATGGCTGTTGAGGGAAGGATGAGGGAGCAACTTGGATGGCTGTTGGTGAGGTAGGGCTGGCTGGGGGGCGCTGGTAGTCAACTGGTCGAGAGAGGGGCCTTTGGGGACATGCCAGAATAGAGAGTGGGGATGCAGTTTTCCTCATGGTCCACAGCTCCCTTTGTTCCACCTCCCCCCAGCAAAGTGCCAGGCAGTTCCATGGGTCAGCTACGGACGAGGAGGAGGCTTCACCAGGGCTCTCCTGAGGGTCATGAGGGGAAGGCAAATGGTGCAAACCTATATTATATGTGGAAATGGAGGAAGGGAGGAAGGAAAAAAGATGGGAGGGAAGGAGGGAGAGAGGAAGATTTCTGACACTCCCTGCCAGCTTCCCACAAGCAAAATAAATGGGGAAGCTGGCAGCAAGTCGTAAGTTGCTCATACTCCCACTCCTTTTTTGCCCTTGGTCATTCTGTTTCTGTTTAGGTAAGGAAATATCTCTGAAATGATGACCCAAAGGGTTACAGGTTGTCTAGCAAGTGTTAAAGTCTTTCAGAGATCAAGATACAACAGTTCCAAGCTCAAAAGTCTTCCATGCTGACCAAAGTGGCTCATTACAACCTGGAACACTCTTTTCAGTTTGAAATTGTGTATTTCAGCTTCTGTGGCTTGCATTCTAAACCCACTGCACATTTGTAATATTTAAATTTTAATATTAGATTTCTCATGAAATAGAGCAGGGAGTTACAGCAGAAGACTAAAACATACAGAATCTTTTGTGTGGCAGAATCCCAATTATGAAACTCTCTACTGAAGGACGTTAGATTATTCTTTACAATCTCAATGTTACACAGTGTCACTATTCCCATTTCCCAAAAAGTAGAGGCTAAGCAACCATATCTCGCTAAAGGATAATAGTTGAGAGTCAGATTCTTTCTCCCAACATCTTTTTTTTTTCTGTGTCCCCATGATGTTGCCTTAATTTTGTCTGCAGCCCATGAAGAAGACAGTCTTAAACCATTCTTAGCTGTACAAGTGAAATCAAGCCCCCCCCCCCACCGCTTTATGCTGTTCCCTTATTGGCCTTATGCTATCTGAGGGCAGCCTTCGTCATGCATTTCCTTAGAGGAAAATCAGGTGACTACAGTGACTTGAAACAGAAGCAATAAAACATGATACGGATTGGCAACGGAGACAGCAAATATCATGCTAGTATAGTTCTATGCCAATTCAATGATAGGCAAATGGTACTCTAACTTAACAGTGGGAAAAGGCCCTTAGTTCAATACTGAATTTAGATGTATCATGTAAATTTTCTTTCTTATTTATTCAGATTATTTTTTACAGTAGAGGAAGGGGAAGCTATAATAAACAAATAAATGTGAACAATTGACACATGCTGTTAGTTAAATATTAACTATTTACTGACAAGTCACATGTGTGAACATTTTTGCTTAATAAAATAAGCTTCTGTGTTAAAATTATTCCAAGATTTACCACACAATGTGAAAATGGGCATATGGAAAGAATGGGTTACATGGGAATTACATATGAGATATTCCTAGCCAGTAGCATTTGGAATAATGTGGCTGCACATATGCCTGGCTGAGAACTGATGGGGGAAAAAAAATAAAACAAAATAAAAAGAACTAATCTAATCTCTTATGCAGATCTTGTCTTATCCTCTGAATAAAGTTTGCCTACTGTAAGCATAACCTAATATCTAATATTCCCAAAATAACCCTCTAGTCTAAAGTTATTCATCTGAACCTTGGAAAAAAAAAATACTTCACAGAAGAATTTACTGAAATCTCAGGAAGCAGCTGCAGTTACCAATCTCTATTGCACCAACAATACAAAGCCATGCATAGCACAGCCCTCTCAGACCACCATTTTATCAACAAGCAATTTATCATTTCACATACCTGAACAGAAAATGTTCTACTTCAATATGCAAAATCACTAAAACATATTTTCCCCTTCGGGGACATTCTAGTTTGATGTTATTTTCCCTGACATTTCATCTGTCAGATTATCATAAATATAAGCCACAAAGAATAATTGTTATATTCTCACTGAATTTCATCAGAAAACAACTGAAGCTACACAATAAACTGGAAGCATAATCTTGGAAGAAGACTATGAATACCGAATGTACTAAATAAATCAGGAATCTAATGAAGGCTTCAAGTTGTTTCAAAATTAAATATAACTCTGAAAATACTAGATGGTGGTTCTATAAAAAACAGGCACTTGGTTGCTTGAAAAAAATTAGTAAATCAAACTGTTTCTCAGTTTTAGACGTTCCTTAATGCCTTAAGAACACATGCAGAACTCATAAGGAACAATTCAACCAACATTAAGCATGCTGAAGCCCCATTGAGGAAAATTTAAGCAAACCTTTAACTTATCTATTTAAATTAATGGAGCTGCAAAGTACTCAGCTATTACACTGTATATATAAAGCTAACAGTTCTATCTTATTCCACACAGCAGAAAGAAACGGATGTTTTATTTATCTGATTTGATTTAAAGTCACTGACCAAAATGACGGGTGACAGAATCTAGTTCTTGCCTTTTTGCTGAAGTAGTCTAGTAGACCTGTCTACCTGCATCAAAATCCAGGCTGGCAGCCACTCAGAATTTGAAAACTTCAGGCCATCAGTAAACCAAATGCTCTGACATAAAGCCACCTGCGCAACCAACATCACCCCAATCCTGTGCTATCGGCACTGTAGAGATTGATGGATTTGTCTGCAATGAGTTATGCCTTTTTTTAGCTGTTAACAAATGTAGTTCTCTTTGTTCTATGTGCTCTAAAATATGATGACTTACCTGCTTGACCAGTGGTAACAGTAACAGCTGCAAAAAGCCTCTGGGAATGGCTTAAGTCAGAAACACCATTTAAAGCTTCAACTTCAAAAGTATAGTTAGCATGAGCTAACAGGTCCATGACGGTGACATAGTTGTCTGCTAATCCAGTTTGCTGGGGCATATATCCAACATTGCTCCCACAGGAAACACATTCACCCTGTTCCCAGCTGCACCTCTTGCACAATACCCTGTAGGTCACATCATTTCTTCCTCCATTATCAGCAGGAGGGCTCCACTCCAAACTCACAGTAGTTTGGTTAATATTGAAAATAAGGTTCTGTGGTGCAGATGGCGGTCCTTTGTTAAATAGAAACACAAAACAGGGGTGGGGGTGGGGTAGGGGGGTGGAGATTGAAAGAAAAATCAGCAGGGAAAATTTAGCTCATGTTTCAATTACCCATGCTAAAGCTCACCAGGATTTAAACTTTCCATTATATTTACTACACACTACCAAAAAACCCTACTTGAATTCAGTTGACAAGAAGCTGTATTTATTTTCCACTGAGGAAACAAGAAAATCATTTTCTGTGTATTTACTACAGACCTTTTGCAGCTTTTCTTGTCTGCAATTAAAAAGATATGTTAATGTGCCTCTGAAGTTGACTCACAGAGAATTCCTCAAATTGATTTTTGCTTCTTTCGAAATGCATGAATTGGAATAAATTTAGGTATTTCTTAATCTATTGTAATATGATTTACAGTTATACTGCGGTATAGCTTTGGTTTTGAGGGACTTAGAAACATTCATAAGCTGAACCACCAATGGGTTACTTTTTTTCTCAGAAATTATTAACTTGATGCTGTGCCACATTAGATATATCATGATGAAAATATAAGAAAATCATATTCTCATTCTTTCAGTTATGTGTTTATTCAGCATCTTCTCCAGGCTATGGAAAACATGGCCATTAAATTTATTGGATTGTACTTTTTTTTTTTTTACTTTCTCCATTTTGCTATTTTGCAAAATGCATTTGAAAACACTTCTACTCTGTTACTTTGCAAGTTATAGAATACTAAAGCGGGGGATGATTGTGACTGGCTAAGCAACAAGCCAATATTCATGAATAACTCACTTGTGCATGCAACATATGGTGGGTCAGTAGGTGCTCTATAATAGCTGTCTTCACAATCACATCGCGAAGATCCTTCCCTGTCTGAAAAACTGTGCATTGGGCAGCGAGAACACTGTAGATCTTGTGAAGATGACTTATAGAATCCACGTCCACAGGCTAAGAGGGAATGAAACAAACAGGTATTATTTTAAATATATCTTTGTTTAAAGAGACTTTGGTATCAGGTGTATAGAAAACAAATGATACATGCTCTTAATACACATGTTCAAAACTTTCACATTCTTGTCTGAAACTAGAAGTTTATGGTTTTAGAGCTAACAGACTGCAAAAATCTGGATGCCACAAAATGGCATTAAAATGGTAGGGCTTTTTGTATCACTTTGTTACCATCTAGTGCTCATCCAGACTGTTGCAGCCCAGATCTGTAGCCTTACTGGTTCTAATCCCAGTTCAGAAATGAACTACAGTTTTTTGTAAACAAACAATATTTTTTCCCCTCAAAACCCTTTTTCCATATAGAGTAATAATTCCAGTTATTTTTACAGACTTCTTGTAAGGAGTTCCAAAACATTATACTTAAAGACCTTATGCAATTTTTAATTACATGACATAACATTCAGTATTTTCTATTAGCCTGAGTATATCCAAACTGGGACAACATGAGTTTTAATATCAATTCTTTACTGCTATCATATGAACTTCAAAATTCAGCAAGCATAGAAATATGCTTTAAAAGAATGTATTCCTGTAACCATTCTTCTCATATCATCTTTATGCTTGTAACAAGAGTATTATCACTTTTTGTCTCATCCCCTCTCCCATAGTAAAAAAAAAAAAAAACGTGTGTTTTATAAATGTGTAATTGAATCATAGTTAATGTTTGTTCAGTTAGCTGGAAAAAAGTCAACAATGATAGCCAACTGTGCTGTGCAAAATATTTGGAGGGGTATGTTGCACGTAAGCAGTCTTTTAAAGGCTTAGCCTGGCTGCTTGAGGCATGCACAAAAGACCATTCCACTGGGATTGCGACTTAAGCAACACTCCAGGTAAAGGGTTCAGAGCAGCTCTTTGTTCACAGAGAATGAAACAAACAGGTATTATTTTAAAGATGCGTCCCTCACAACAGTTTGTATGGCCAGCTAACTTGTCAAAGTAATGGATTCATACTTAAGCTAAATCTATTAAAACAGGTCATCAACAAAACCATTATTTTCAAATTAGGAGGAAAGTGCAAGAGAAATGCATTGACTGTTCCAGTCTTTAGCCTGTTGTAGTCTCTATTTTGGCTGACTATTACATGAAAAAATACTAGCTGTTAATAATCAAATGAAAAATTGATACAGGCTACGATTCAGATGTTTGAGTTCCTAATTGCCAAATTAAATTATTTTCATTACTGCAGTACTATATACCAATACTTATTGATTTTAAAATTTTACATAGATTTTCTGCCCTGTCCTGTCATATATCAATCACATATCCTACCCTTACCTAATTATTTTTCTTCTTGTTCGTTCCTAAATCTAGATATTGGATTGAATGGGGGGGAAAAAATAGTATACCAGAGTTACAGCCTCAGTGTATAGTGTTATTCTAAAAATAATTTGTAAGTTGGATCATTCTTACCTATATTTCAGATTTGTAAAGTTTGCATTCATTTATTAGTTATTTTTTGCTCCAATACTTCATACTTGGAGCATTCTATTTGTTTAAATGGATAAAAAGAACACTGTTATTCCAATTTTCAGCAAGAAAAGATATCACTTTACCTTGTCTCCTTTAGTTCTATACAGAAACAGTTTAACAGCTTTCTTACCTCTTTATACCTACTACTGTATTACTTGAGATGTTTTCAATGTTCACTCTTTTACATAGCTAAAACAATCATTTTTATTGTGGCAGGTTATAAATGCAATAAGCAAACAAACAAATAAAACTGATAGTAGATCTCTTCTATGTTCCATGAACCTGGACTCTAAGATGCATAAACACAGATAACATACAATACAGATAGGGCCAGTTATATAATTTTGTTTCTAAACATTTATTATTTCTTTTGATTATTCCTACTTGGCTACAATTATTTTATTGCTATTTTGTAGCATTTTTTATGTTGTTTTAATAAAAGGTAAGATTTTTAATTTTCAGATTTAATAAATACTTATTTTTAAAAGGATAGTTTATAGGGCAATTCACTAATGATATTAATTACAGAGTTGATGGTCATCATCACACCACTGAAGAAGGCAGGGCCAAAATTTTGTGGAGTTCTGTCCCCCCCCCCCAAACATGCACACACGCACTCTCACTCACACAGAGGTATGTTACATTTTTTTAAAAAAAGATACCGTAGTTTTTGGAAATGTGCTAGAGAACAACTGACAATGAGGTTAGAAAGGGAAAATAAGTAACATCACCAATTTGATTTCTGGTAAATGGGTGTTTTATGAGAAGCAATATTAACCATGGCAAACACTTTGTGACCAGGAAGAGCCATATTCATAAGAATTTACGCCATAGCATATTGGGATACATCAGGTTCTTAAAATTCCAAATATGCTCCACAAGTGCCCAAATAGTTGCCTCTTCCCAATCTAAACCAATCAATTATTTAAATTCAGTTTTCCATTGATCCACATTTCTTTTAAATGATTGTGCCAATCTGACCTAAGCCATATTTATAAGAAACAGAGATATTTTTTTTTGATGGAACACCAATATATTAGTACATCTTGTGCACCAAAAGCCAGAATCCTATTAGTACTGCACTCTGCTTAGACAAACCAGTTGTCCTATGCTCCAAGCTTTCTTTTCTGCACTGCCTTGACAAGGTGGCTCTCAAGTTCTAAACAGGTCTCCCTCTATTTAGCTTTCTCAAGATCAGAGAAGTTAACAAATGACCTGCAAGCTTGTAGGTGGCTCGCCCCCCAATTCTGTAGCAGAATTTTTGGTGCAACCAGAATCACTCAGCTTGCTGGAACTGGCCAAGGAATTGATAGCCAGAATGGTTTAGCTCCTTTGAAGGACAGCAGGTTCCCCAAGGATCCCTCTCTGCCTCCTTCTGAATTCCTAGAAAGGGGTATGAGACGGATTGGGAGGCATTAATGCTTGGTGTGCTACTTTTGAGCAAATGGAGCTCTTTTCTGAAACATCAGCTTGGGTGCTCCCCAAGATAACTGCCACATGCAAGGCAGGGCTTTCTTTTCTTTTTTTTTTTTTTTCTGAATTACCTGGCTCCCAGATTGCCAAGCAAAGTAGAGAGGAAAGGTACAGCATGATGTTCAGAGCTCCAGTTTCTGTGACCTTGCCTCAAATGTTCTTGGAGCACCACAGTTTAGAAACCCCTGCAATAAGCCCATTAACTTACATATTAATAGCAGCACAAACATGTTTGAAACTTGACTTTCCTCTCCTGACTAATCAATGCTGTGGCTGCTCCTTATTTTCCAAAAGGTTTTGATATGGTCCAGCGGCCGCAAAATCTTCTCACCCAGAGTTTTACAAGAAAAGAACAATTTCTTGAAAAGCCCAGTGGCTACAGAACTTTCTCAGCCCAGAAATAAGAGCACTCTAGAGCCTTTCAAGAAAATCACAGTGACAGCTACACCCTTACCCTTCCATACAAATATACACACCATGGAAAACAGTACAGGTTGTACAACAACAACGTTAATTCTTTTCCTTATTTTATGAAGCTATATTCTGATTTACATATTCTTGATACTTTCAGTCATTTTTTAAAAAAATTACACTACTTTAAACTTTTCATTAAGGAATTAAATCAGTTTTGTAACCAGGTTACTTCATTAAAATATACATAACCATGGACATTTTAAGAACCAACACAGGTTCAGAATTTGGCTTGATAAAAGTAGAACCAGAAGGAACCACCAAAGAAAAGGGAGAGTTTCTAATGCTTGCATTATAATTCTTAGTCAATATGACTAAGCTAGATACACTCTGTATGTTTTCTGTGGCAATTGATATACAGTTATGTGTTTGTAGGTGTGTATGTGGTATGTGTTCCAGGCTGCAGGAAATATGACTAGCTACTGTACAGTGACAAATGCCTCACCTTAAAATGTTTACTTTATCTTCCATATGTTTCTTTAAAATGACAATGGTGTCTGAAGACCATGTATGCTTCCATCAAAGAATTACACTGTATACTTAGCCAAAGTAAACGCAGGACTTTTAATGGTTCTTCAGCAATAGTGTGAATGACATCTTCAAACAGGACTATCCTCTGGCTGCGTACCAGCAAAATGTTTGCTGTTGCCTGTCAAGTATTTCTCAGACATGTTTTTCTCCTTCCACAGAATAATACTAGAACTGTCATATATATTCATAATGTCTATCAAGATTGACTCATTCACTACTGTTCACCCAATAGAGAAATGTCTGTCTGAAAAAGGTCTTGCTTTAGTTTTAAATTTTAGAAAGATGACTTGTAAACATCATAGTTTAATACAGCAGTTCTTTCATTATTCCTCAATGTATATATGCCTCTCCCATCTCCATTCAATTTTACTATTACCTTTTTGCACAAACACATCAAATCGTCATAGGTACATTCAAATCATCAAGTGATGACAAACTTAATATATATGCAAATCTCCACAAGGGCAAACAGCTCACACAAGCCTATGGTGTAACTAAATTAAATTGGCAGCACAATCCTCTATATATGTCAATTCAGAGGGCCTATTACATTCACTGGTTCTTACTAGTAAGTAAGCAGATTAAGAATGCAATTTTAATTTAAAGACATGATGGCTGAAAAGCTTGGAGCGAGAATAAATGTTAAGTCACATCTACTGAAAGAAAGCATTTACGACCCCAGAAATTTGCCCACAAAATGGTCTATTGTTCAAAATATGCCAGTCAAGGAATCAAAAAGAGCAGAAAGGAAGGGTAAATGAGGAGTCACATTATATCTCATCCAAGCTGTCATTCCCAAAGCCATCATAACCTTAGGCCAGAAAGAAGAGGCCTTACCAATTCCCAGCACCTTTACTCTAATAGGAGCTCAGAACAAAATATAAATACATACATACATACATACATACTGTTTACTAATCTAAATCATGTCTGTTCTGAAATGTCTGAGATTAGGATAAATTCAACTAGGTCAGGAATTAGCTAGCATTTGATCA